AACCATTAGCTAAATGTACTATCAATAAAATCCTGGGTCACAAGTACTCACCTTAATATTTAAAAAAAAAAAAAAAATTATTTAAAGATAAATTGTATTTTTTATATAATACACTTATATGGAAGTGTAACTGCGATTATGATAGCACTCAAAGATGCTAGTAAAATTAATTTCACTAAATTTCACTAATTTAATACCAATTTTATTAATAGTGTTGAAACTATTTCACTACTTTAGTTTAATTTCACTAGCATTCTTAATAACACCTATTGCATACTTATAATAATCACATTATCAAAATTTGCATAAATTAAAAGTGTTGAAGTAAATACAGTAATGCCTACTGCAATATTAGTTCAAACATATATAAATCAAAAAGTTTAAAGTAAATATAATAATACCACTATCAGATTGGTTCAAACCCTGCATGAAATGAAAGTATTAAAGTAAATACAATAATATCCACTGTCAGATTGGTTCCAATCTTGTATAAATTGAAAGAGTTAAAGTAATTTGGTAATGCCTATTGCCAAACCTATATAAATTAAAAGAATTAATGTTACAGATTTGGTAATACTAATTGATTTTAAACTTGATATACATATGCATATATGTTTGCATTTCTGACTTATTATAGTATAACATTAAAGAAAGCAGAATCTATTTCTGCATCTTAAGTATAGGAATGTTAAAGTGTTTGTCTGAACTAATCTAACTTCAGAAGTTAAGTCAGCATCAGATTCAGACTTGAGTTTTTAATCATGTGAAGTTGCACAAATTAAGATAAATAACAATAAAACTGAATAATTATAAACTATTAATATGCATATTGCTCTTAATTTAGTAAATATCATATGATATTACTGAAGTTTACTTAGAGCCAACTTTAAATAACTCAACTCTAACTAACTTGAAAACTGACTAAACTGAGCTGTTTAATATCTCTACTCAAGTGGTATATTGTAAAGAGCAAGGTCAACTTTGCCAAAAAAAGTTACCACTGCAATAATCAGTAATATGAATTTTCAAAATTCTTAGAATTCCTAAAATTCGTATAATTCTAAGTATATTAGAAAAAAAAAAAAGTAAGGTAAAATATGAATAGTAAGAAAAGCAAAATAATTAGAATAATTAGAATTCACATTATTCTTGTATATATAAAAATTAAATATATAGGAGGAAAGTTTTTTCAAATAAAAACAGTTCTAAAAACTCTTGGAGTTCAAAACCTTTAAAGCACTTAGTAGAACTGTTTATCTTGCTAATTTTCTTAATAAGTAAAAATTATATTAACAATAGAAATTAGTAACCAAATTCTGTAACTTTGTTGAAAGATTTGTGATATAATTCAGAGCTTTAATCATCTATCCTAATTACTCAAATAGTATTTAGTATATATTTTATGTAATTTTAGTAATATTTATTATTCAACATTTTTAGTTTTTAGACTTAGTTTTTTTACTCATAATGTGCATACATACTAATTTTAGCAATTGATCAGTAAATAAGAAAAATAAATTATTATAATTAATTTCATTTTTTTAGTGCTTATTATTTTAAAGAAATATTTCTTTTTACTAGCTTGCTCTTTTGTCATAAGCTTTTTACTGCCAATTCAGTTATATTTATAAAATTAAAGATGCTAACTTGATCAAAATGTAAAAGCATTAAATAGAGCTTACATATTTTTAATTCAAATAATATTCAAATAACTTTGATTGGCCAAATAGCAAATATTATTCAAATAAGTACTATTTATTCGAATAATATATATATAAAACAAATATAACTAAAGTTTCACATAGATAATAATAAAAATTATTTGAATAAAATTTTCTTATTTGAATTATTTATTAGACAATTTTTATTCAAATATTTGCTGAATACAAATATTATTTGAATAATAAACACAAATATGAAGCTCTAAACATAAATTAAAAAACTTTATATAGCAAAACCATAATTAATTTAATAATGCCATTATTAAAGTTAACTTTGTGATGCATAATATAAATTATAATCAAAGTTGTAATCTGAATTTAACTTAAAAACTAAAATAATTAAAACCTAATCTTTAGATAATAAAGATAGTTATTTTCTTATATTACTAAATTTTATCTAATAAAATTATTGGACAATTGGACATATTGTTTAATTAATTTGATACTTTTATTGAACATTGTCTAATGCATAATGGTTCAAAAAATTATTAAAATTAATTGGACAAATTGGACATTGTTCAATGTCCAATGTCCAAATGTTCAAAAATCCAATTGAATTTATTTGAACATTGTTCAATACCAACCTTGATTGCATATGCATTTGGTATTCTATCAAATGTTTTTGCATCTTGTATTGCTGTAATTGTATAATCAATAATTCAAAGCTTTCTTTAGATTTTTTTAAAGACTTTCATAATGTACTAGTGTAATATGCAATTGTAAGAAACATTTCAAATTTAAATCTTTTTTCTTTATAATCTGAATGTAAAAAAAATGCTAGAAGGTAATTAGGATCATTAAATTCTTTATAACATTAATTAAATACTTGAACACAATAATTTCTAAATTCATAATATTCTTTTTGTAATAATTTATTAATTGTGACACCAATTTTAAGAAGTGCAGTATAGCAATTAGCAAGATTAGATTGGCTTCTTTCTACTTCAAGAATTGCAAACTTAATTGGTACAAGTATTTCTGTTAAATACTGCATATCATCAAAAAATCTACAGCTTTTCAAAATAATAATAATCTTATTATTTGTAATTTGATATGTGAATTTATTTCTAATTTTTTCTAAACATTTTTTAAGACATATAATCAAAGATGTACATTCATGAACTGTAATCTATCTAGTTTCAACATAGTACTTAAGTTTATCACTAATTATTGCATATTTTTTTATTTGAGTTCTTAATAGATTACTTGCAACATAAGACTTATTAAAATGGTTAACAATTAAATTAGCTTTTTTAACTAATTCAATTGCAAATTCATTTTTAAAATATTTTTGGCAATAGGTTTATAGTATATGCTATACATCTAAGATTTTTTTTTTTTTTTTATAATGCCAAATTGTAACTTATACTTTATTTAGTTTTTTGCATTACTATTACATATAGTTATATTATATTTGTGCTACTAGTATCTATTTTTGCTTCTAAACACCCAATATGACATTATATCTACAATTTCCTATATACTCTAATTTTTGTAACCTTTACTATATATTTTAATTATCATTACTAAACTACCAGAAAGGCTGTAGATCACCTTGTTATACCCCTAATTTCTTTTACTTTTCTTACTTAACAGCCCTTTTGTCTACTACTTGCAATAACACATCTTTCTCCCAAATTGGTTAACTCTGGTAGTTTCTTGCTCTTCTTGCTATCAGTTTGGTTTACACTGCCTAATTTACTTTCTAGTACTCTGATGGCATAGCTGGATTTATTAAGATCTGGATTATCAATCTGCAGTTTATCACATATTCTTTTTGGATATACTTTTATAGTTGGTTTAGTTTGTCACTTGATCATATATGCTTTCTGCAGACTTTCCTATTGGTGTACCACTGACTATGCACTAATAAACTACCAGCTTGATGTTGCAAGAAGGTCTAGAACCTTGACTTATTACATATGAGTATGGTGCCTATCATCTAAGTTATAATGTATAACTGCTTAAGGAATACTCTTTAAGTTACTTTTAGAGATACCTGCCTAAGATGTTCCAATTTTGGTTAGACTAATCTTTTGCTACAGATCTTCTTTGCATGCACTGCATTATTCATTACTCCAGTTTTGTTACATAGTATTATCTTTTCAATTAAGTACTCTGTAAGTTGGATACAAAGATGTTGGTGTTGCCTTGTCTTCTAAGAACTTATATGCACAATATTATTGTAGCCAAACCTTTTGTGATACTGCTGTTATATATAATGCTTTTACTCTGCAGAGTCATTATCTTTTTAGAAATTTTTAATTCATTCTTGTACTTTACCTTGGGACTTTCTACAGAGCTTCGCATTCAATTTTGGCTCCTTATAGATTACAGAGTTAAAATTCTAAGATTTTGCCTTTAGCCTGATTTGAACTGTTAATCTTGTTTATAAGAGATTAGCAGCTTTACCATTAAGCTATAAAGCTCAATCCCTATATCTAAAATTTAAAATATGTTTATATTAAATAATAACTAATTTTTATACAAGTTTTATATTAAATTCATTATTACTAATAATCTTAGCAATCTTTTCTGACCCAATTTCCTTAATAATTTGTTGAATTTGTTGTGCTAAGAATTCTCTTATATGAATAACTTAAATAATTAGCAATTTAATAAATAAATTTTTTGTGATTAGGTGTAAGAAGTACAAAGCTCTATAATAATGTCATATTTTGGCTTGTTCATCTATTAATACAAATTGTTAAATTTGAAATTGATCTAATTGTTTGTTCAACTTTTATATTAACTTGTGATACTTAAGTATCTAATAAGTGTCTAATATAAAAATTATTAATTATAAAATAATTGCTAGTTTTAAAATTTTATATATATAGCAATATCTGATAATACTTTGCATAATAATAGATTATATTCTGAACAGAAAACTTTAAGTAAATTGATAATAAATAGATTTTTAATTATGTTAAAAGGTAAATCACAAGACACAAATACAGCAATTAATGCTTCATTAATTTTTGTTTTACAAATTTTTAAAAATTTTATATAGTTAGACTTTTTTTAATAATCTATAGATTTAAATAACTTGGTTTCTAAATGAGTTGGAATTGTATAATTTTTAACTTTTGAATCATCAAAAAGATTATTTGCAATTATGTAGTTGTAATATTGTTTAATATTTTCAGGACAATTTGAACATTCATGAGCAATATAAGCTCTAGTTTTAGTAGGTTTAGCATGTTTAAATTCTTTATTGCAGTAAATATATTTTTCTTTGTAAACTCCATGAGATATTTCTTTATCTAACTCAATTCCTTTTTAAATATCAGTAAATTGATGTTCAGCAGATTCATAATTACTTTTACTATCAGAGTTGCTACTATTATCAATTGGGTGTTTTTTTTCTTTTTAAATTTTTAGCCATTATTGTTATTTTAATTTGAAATAATAAATAGCAAAACTAATATTTATATATATTATTAATTTATATATATATATATATAATTTAAAGTTAACTATTATCTTATAAAATATACATAGCATATTATAATTACAACATATTATAAGATTATAATACTATGATATTGCATCATTATTATATATTGCAATATTGTGATTTGTATTATTGCAATAATTTGCAACACTTTTCATTTTTTAAATATGAATTGCAACAATTAAGATACAACCTAATTACATTATATTTAAAGTCACAATTAAGATTTGCAGCAGGCAACACTAATCTCAGATCAAGAAAACAAACAAAAAATACATCATTGTCAAATAAGTCTCAATAGTGTAAAAGCACACTATATAGTGCATTTTTAATTTTATATCTTATATTTTTAGTATTAGTAGATATGTTTATATTGATTTTTTATTTTTTAGAGCTCTTTTCTTTTTTTTCTTTAGCATTAAGGAATTCAATGTTATTATCAAATGCTTGGTCATCTGTTTCAAAATTTACTTTACTTAATTTATCATTATCAGAATGATTTATAGAACTAGCTATATTTTTTATTAAAGTCAAAATAAACAAGATTATATAAAAAATTGTAATATATTCAAAACCATTAAGCTTCTCTATAGTTTTATAAAAAGGCTTTAAAATATTAACAAGATTTTTCATTAAATCTCACTTGTCTTCAGACAATTAAATTTCTTTTAATCTTTTTGCATCTTTTCAGACTTCTGGAATGCTTGAGACAGTCAATGTTGTAATAATAATATTGATTGTATCCTTAATTAGCAAGAGACATTCCCAAGTTATAAAAAATAAATTTCAACAGATGGGCACATCCATTTTTACACAAAGATAAGTAGATGTTTTTTTAATTATCTATTATAAAAAATAATTTAGTATATTTGTAAAAAATTAATTAACAAAATTATGCTGTATTACATCTTTATCTAAAACTTTTAATGTTTTCTGAACTTCTTTAAGTCATTCAATTTGTTTCAATGCTTTAAAAAAATTAATTAATCATTTAGCCCTTGCTACAAGTGTTTTGATTAGCATTAGGCCTTTTTTGACAACAAGTTGCAAAGTATATACTATGTATAGAATTCTTACAATGTTGTCATTCTGTTGATTGCTGCTTTCATGTTGAATCTGTTATGAGTTGTAATTAAGTATACCTTTCTTGTAAGACTTCAATCAGAAATTATGCTTTCTAATTTTTCTTGAATAACTTCAGCAGTATGCAGATATCTGATATATAATAAAAAAAGCAATATTTTATAGATTTTGAATTTAGAGTCATTTTATAAACAGGTAATATTAAGATACCCTTGCCTGTTGTGACCTGTTCACAGGTCTGTAGTAAGTAAGCAAGTTATGGTTATATTTTGTAATATTTCTATATATTTTAGATATACTATCATACAATTTATAAATTGTTTGTTTTATGCTTTTTTTATTAAGTATGTTAAACACTAGGTCTAATTCTTTTATGAACTTATAAAAAAATTTGCTTAATACAAGACTAATTAGTTGAGCATCACAAACAATAAATTTAATAAGAGCCTTAACAAGCTTATTATTTTTTGATTTGTTATAAGGATATGTATTTTTTATGAACAAGTTAATTTTAGTTTAAGCAGACTATATAAAATAATAATAAAATAAGATAGATGTTAAAATTTTTAATTTGAAGTTAATTATTATATTACTTTATCATCATCAATTTCAAATAATCTAGGCCCATTTTGTGTAATGCTGTAAGTGTTTAAAAAATAGAATATTAAGTTTGACATCGAGCTACTTGAAATTTTCAATTAAGCTTTACAAAATTTTTTATCTGAATCCTTTACTTGACAAATAGCATATGTAACTTTAATATTAACTTTTTGATAATCAAGATTTTTAACAGCTTCTATTATTTTTTTTTCTCAAAGCATTTCCATATCCAGCTTTATTTTTTTAAGTCACTCTTTCAACTGAATTTATATTTTTTAATAGTAGCTAAATTAGAAGCTTTACTATTACTTTTTGTACTTATACTTCTAGTTTCTAATACTAGACTATTTGATCTTATAATGGGGTCTTCATATAATTTATCAAATTGCTGAGCTGAAAAAGTGAATTGTAACTCATTTTCTTTCATTATTTATCACTAATAATGATTTTTGTTTTACTAATTAAGAGTTTTACAAGATATCAAAATAAAATAAGATAAAATTTATATTTCAAATATAAGAACTAAATTTCTTTATTAACTTCAAATTCTTTGGTTTTTATATATTTTCAATATTGAAAACTTCAATAATGCTAATAATAATTATTTTTAATTAAATAACTAATGCATATATATATATATATAGGTTAAAATTAATTGTATACATGAATCAAAAATAAATATGAATGTTATATAGTTTAATTGTTTATACGCATAGTCAAGCATAAATATTTTCTCTTGGGCTTTTGTACATAACAAATTTGTACAGATAAGTTTTTTCCTAATCATAATATACACTTTTTCTGATTTCTTATCTTATTGCTATCAATATCTTTTTTCTTTGATTTCTCAAAAAACTCAATGATAACAATAATATATATTGAAGTTTATAACTTTGAATCATATAGCTTCTTCAAAGATGCTATAAAAGACTCACTTAGAAAATTTTGGCATTACATTACAATGATTATTACAATGATTGACATTGTAAAAACAGCTAATCATCTTTTAATATTACCTTGAAATTCATTTAATTCTTAATTTATTATAATTTTTTATTGATTATAGTTCTTGATTAAAAATAAGAATTCTAATTTGAAATAATTATGAAATCAATTTTTTACTTCTACAGGTATGAATAATTTGAATAAGAAGTCTGGTATAATTATTGATAAATTTAGAATTGGTGTTAAAAAGAGCAAAATAATTAGATAAGTGCATAAGAGTGAAAATCTGAAGTTAAAATTTAAATTGATAATTGGTTTTTAATAATTTTAGTAATATATAATAATAATATTACTAGAATTATGACAATCTTATTATCATATATTACCAAAATTATTAAAATGCTGATTATTTTTTTAGGATTTAAAGTTTGATTTTTAGGTTTTTGCTCTCATACACTTATATCTTTTATCAAAAATCTGTAGATAAGAATAATATCAGCAAGTTGACTATTGTTATTATAATGCATTATTAGAAGTTTGCTGAAGTAGATAAAGAATTTATAGAATCATTATTTGTTTCAAATACAGAATTGATGCATAGTAACTTAATGAATCTGAAAATTATCTATTCATCTATTTATCAATAATCTGTATAAATTTTATGTTTTGATTTGATTATTTTTAAGCAGCTTTCACAAGGTAATTAAGATATTTTTAATCATTTTAATTAATCAAAATTGTGATTATTATATTAATTTACTAAGAATTTATCATGCAAAATGTAAATATTAAGTTATGAACAGAAGGTGTGGTGACCTAGTGAAGTGATCAGGTTATCAACCCCCTAAGTAGTAGGTTGGGTGTTTAAATTCCATTGATAGCAAAAATTTGAATAATCACCTATGTAATATTTATATTACAGCAACTGTTACTAATGATTAGATTAGGATATCTGTAATAATGATTACACCAGCATGACTGACAGGTCATAGAGCATTTGTGTAAGTATGATGTTATATAGAGAAATGCAAACTGACAAATCAGACAGTGCAAATACTAGATAAGTCCTTGTAGTTGTGTAAATCTGTTGAAATTAAATAACAAGAAGTCACAGATACCAATGTGGAGGAGCCGGATGGGCAAGAACCTCAGGTGAGGGGTACCACCAACTAGGCCACCAGAACCGAACTGGAGGAAAAGGATATCGGGCCAGCTCGATATACCAAGGACAGGTCACAGTCCTATTGGGCTATCTGGATTGGAAGTCTGATACCAAAGCAGGGATATACTATAAGTACTAGGGATATGCCATGAAGTAGGTGCTGGGGTTTGGGTAAACTCTACAAGGGCTAGCCTTGTTAATGTTCTGTAGAGTGGATAGGTAGTTAACAAAGAGGTACCCCTGAACCTTACAGTCAGATGATGTATTTTGAAATGTTTAACGGCTTGACAGATGTACAAAAGGAGAAGCCAAATGTTGGGTTAGACAGCACTTAGTTATACGGAAACCAGGTGTTACTC